TTCAATCAGGTATAAAAATTAGCTTTTAAAAATATATGTAAATGATCGACTAAATGAGCTTAAAAGTCATTTAACGGAAAAATAAAATTAATGTTTTCTGCTGTTTAAAATTGCTACATCTTTGATGAAAGTGTTACAAATGTAATAAATCTTATATATTTTTTATAATTATTTTGTATTATGTATGAACATCGAATAAATATATTTCTAGATTTTTTCATTTGTGATTATCTTAAATAATGATTCGAGTTAGTAACACTTTTAGTGAAAAATAATGTAATAAGTTATTTGACTGTTTTATACGGATATAAATGTTTGAGTAACAAATTCAACGATAATCTTTTACAACAGTAATGTAATGTTAAGAAGAAAAAGTATTGTTGATTTCTTTATTATTCACAGCAGTATATTATAATAATGAAAATATAATAAATTGTAAATAAATTAAATAACTTGTTCCAAAAAAATGTAATAAAATCTGTTATTCATTAGAATTACTTACGAAACGTAACTTAATCAGAGATGTTATATAGTATTACAAATGTTTTATATAATATCAATAAAACGCATTTAGTGATGTGTTATAAGGCAAAAAAGAAAATACTTATGGGTAAGATAAGTGTATCACAGAGATCTAAAGTTCTTCAACGTTGACACCGAATCGTGGTATTCCTATAAAATGATAATGAAAGCATAGGAAAGAAGATAATTAAGCGTGACAAGAGAGTTATTGATTATTGAGATCTCCGATAACGAACCTATTGTGCCATGATTAATTGACATTCAGTATCTATATTTCAAATTGTCCCCACATACTCCAGTTTTAATACTTCACCGTTATCTGATATATGGAAAGATGTTAAACGTAAACTCAGAGACATTGTATGGTACTAAAATGTTATCAAAACCCTAAAATCAATTTTGATCTGGCAAGAAAAGTATTTAAGAATTCAACTTAAGTGAAAAATCAGACAATAACAAATGTTCTCATATTATTCTAAGAATGGACAAATGCTAGAATTTTAAAGCTTGATAATTAGATTTAACCACTTCAGTTTATACTAATTTATTTTAGTTCGATTGTGCAGAAAGCTATTAGCTTATTAAAACACTCTTGAATTCGTTCCTGGAACCGATAAGTACATAGCAATGAGTGGAACGTTTCTTGATCACGAAAACAACGACTTGTCCCTGACTAGGTTCTTACCCACGAGACCAACCACTCGAATATGACTGTCGGTAGAAAAAAATAAAAGTAAAATATTCTAAAATGGTAACACCAATGTTAAATACATTCTTTTCATACATTTTATTAATTAAACATGTTAAACGCCAAAAGAAAAGAACAAAGAAAATGTGTTAACTTCCGCTTAAATATAAAATGATTGTCATGATATATATAAAGCTGCTATCAGATTTCTCTAATGATTTCGTGTAAGTAACAAAAATCAATATTTGGTCTTGTTTCTAACATACATTACATTATTTATTCGTTTTCAATCCTTATATGGTTTGAATAATTTATTCTCTAAAATTTTCTGGATTGTAGCAAAATAAAATAAGTAAAACTTAAGATTCGGCGCTAATGAGACTGTTCAAGCCAGCCATAGAAAGTATAACATTTTTCATATCCCCTATCTCTGGCTTAAACACTATTAAAACTTCAACACGACATTTATTGTCATACAGCAAATTATTTCAGATATTTTACTATATCAAATAAATGTGAATGACAACATTATGTATTGAAAGAAACTAAAATACAATTTGTACCAAACAAGCGTCTCGATCTTCTAATAAAACACGGTGTTCTATATATCTTCCTTTTGTAAACATTTACAATGTTAATCAAATTACGTGATTAAAAGGTAAAAAAAAAGAATAACGTCTTCGTTGAAACTTAAACTTTAATTTTAGTGACGAATATCGGATAAAACACCCAACAGGTGTTAAAACAGATAAATGTTATGATTTATGAACGCTTTCTTTTGCTTAAGGAACATTTATATTCTTTATCAATATACACTTGTTCTTTATAACGTTTGGATCATTTTATTATCAAAGGGAAACCATTTATCATATATGTAACATATGTATCAGATACAAGCGCAATTGAGATATATTATCTACATATCGATCGATTTTGTTATATTCGAAGTCTTTCATTTCAAAACACACGATTGCAAATAGAAATTCTATTCACATCAGATGAAGAATATAGACAAATATGAAATATGCATTGTGTATATAAATACAAGTTATCATGTAGGACACTCAGCATAATATGTAATCTGCTGTTTGCACGTCAATTATGTTTCTTAATTGCTTCCGTATTTAATACACATTTCATGTGACTGTTTGTATATTAAAGAAAGATGAAAGCTAGTTACGATGAAACTTTTTTGGATATTATATTTATGTTGGATCTAATTCAAAGTAAAACCTTATCATAAAATGCGAGTAAAGCATTTTATAAAGCGTGCAATAAGCTTTCATTGCGCCCTATTATAAAGATAAAACAATTTCAAGTGAAATAACAAATATTTTTTCAACTCATTGATAAATGAGCAAACATGTCGATCTATCAAAATCTGTATTGTAAATGGAAACATGTTGACAAAAACAATAGACAATAATGCTGTCTCAATAACAACGACCTGTCGTTCCAATAACACGGAACTTTTATATTTTTCAGCAGTATTCAATCTTTGACGATGTAATATACTGTCCATGCTTGACATCTAATCCGTTATGAACAATTTATGTCTTGAAATTTATATAGTTATTCAATTAACGTGTCCTCACAAAGAAAGAAAAAAACAAAGCAAATGAATGTGTGTGAGACCTTTGCTGCCTCTCATGTAATTTTGTCATTTCATTTGATGACACTAATTCCAAAATCTGACATGCTGTCTGTATACAACGCTGTTTTGATGATTTTTTATATATATATGTTGATATTCAATTATTGTTTTAAACTTTTACTAGATCATCCTGTCCATAACTTTATTCTTAACATTGTATGATTATAGTATTTTAACGTGCTATCAAAATTTACAGTCATGTTTTTCATACAGCAGTGTGTTATCGTGACTTTTCTTTGACACATTACATATTTGTTATTTGTTAACAATCAATATTTTATTCAGTAACTTTTCAGCCACTTTGAAAAACAGACACAAAAAAGACTAATATTTTCAGTAGACAAGTACCCCTTATGATTTCCAAAATGGTTTACAATGTCATGAATGTGCCGATATATATGTTGTCATAAATTAAAGAGAATATGCAATATGTCGATTAATGTTTTCTTTTCCAATCGGAAATGTATTATATTTACAATCATGATATTGAATTTAGTTTTGGATTTGACCAAACTAATGAAATATATTTTGAACAAAATGATATCATTTTGAGGAAACATGAACTCTTACCCTCACTTATTTATATATCGTTATTAAGTAATTTATCACCGAATAATCAATAAATTGAGTTTTGGACTCATTTAACGTATGAATTATTCACCTTAGCATGAGTGACAGTGGAAAAAGCAGACAAGTACATATAGGTAGTGTGAAGTTTAATTGCTTTTTATAACAACCTTGCACAGAAAATAACTTCCCTTTTCATAGAAAAATTTACATTGTGGTTTCTTGTTTGCAATAGCAAAATTGTCTAACTTTGAATTATGATGATAATGTTGATCATCATCATCACCACCACAATCATCATACTCATTATTTAAACATACATCGATTTCAAACGTCTTTCTAATGACGTAAATGCAGATTTCAAACAAAACGTAATTATAGTTTCTTTTCACCTTGATTACCTAATACAATAAATTGAAGGTAACAATGTTCTAGGTATTCTATATTACAACCAGTTGAACTTTCAGTTGAACATTTAAATAAAATCCTGAATCTTGTCACAGTATTTTCCGCAGCCGAGATTGCATTTTAACGCTTGCTTTCATATCAATCCACAAATTTAAGAAATAAAGGAGAAAAAAGTCCTTTGCGACAAAACCACGACATGGCAAGTGTCCGAATAGAGGAAATTCACAATTGGATAGAATATGTTGACGTATATTCTTAAGAGCCTGTACATTTTGCTGAATAAATATTCTATACTCGACCATTTAGATTGAAAATATCTTGCCTTTACATCGTCTGTTTTATTTATCTGTAAATTCATCGGCCATTTTAATCACATTTAATTCCGAATAGCTCTTGATTAATCGTGACAGCAGTACTTATACTCAGACTATTAGACTCATTGCTATATGTTCAGCAATTGTAACCATTGTTTCTTCGAAATGTTACATTAACATATCCTAAATAGTTTTAGATACTAAGATTTTTTCAAGGTACTGAATAACAAACACAAAATATTTCTTTTACATGTATTGCTTAACAATTCGTCTATGATTAATAAGGTACTCATAGTATTTGTGTGCGGGTGGTGGACGGTACTAGTTTTTAACAAGTCATGAATTCTAAATCGTCATGGAATATATTTACTGTATGGGATGAGTTTATACAAAATTGTCACGTTTACGTTTATTCTTTTCCTGTTCGTTTTACAAGTTCTTTAATCAATGACATTTGGTGTGAATTTATTCGGATACAAAATTCTATGGAAATCTTGAATTAACTTTATTGTTCATACAAATGTTGGTCTTGACTTGAATGGAATTAACATATTCTTATCGGACGTTTCTAAAACATTGAAACAACTAGAATCGCATTAATGGCAAATATCATTTTCTTGGCACATAAAAGACATAAAGATGTTTTATCATAAACGCCATACTTATTTTACTTTTTTGAAGATAACCTATTACCATTTTATTATGCTTCATTTTTATCTAGAATTCTAAAACTCATGTTCGATATGTTTTGAAGAGGTAAATGTTTCTGTGCCTACAATCTATATCAGGCAATCTTGTTTTATTAATGTTCTGTGAGTGATAATCGCAGGGTTTTCCTACAGTCAATGTTTTCCTATACAGAACACTCTTACACTTCCATTGAACATCATCATGTGAATTGGAAAATGTTATCATGGTGTTTGAATAACCGAAAAAGAACGCAAGGATTTTATATGTAGTTATTTTCATAAAAGATAAATATACATTTATTTGGATTGTAAATTAAGATTGAACGTGTTAGTTGAATTAAATATGATTTTTATTTGTGAATTTACAGAAGGATGAGTATTGACTAAAAGAGAAAAATTCAGTAAAAACCAGTTTATAATTGTATTGAATCATAAATGTTAAGAAGGATGTTTTTTCTCGGAACAATGTGACTTTCGTTGTGTATAACGGTAAGTAGACATTTGACTTTGCTGTCTCCTGTTACAAGATTTATCATACATTTATCATGATATTGTATAGGTTTTTTCAAACAATTAATAATTCTGCATTACAGAAAACAATTATGTTTGCTAAAAAGATCACTAACTTTGATAACTCAAATTGTTTATTTGTATCAATTAAGCCTTGAAATAAATAGTTGTGAATTAAATCACATTAATAGGATATGACAAACTAAATCATGTTAAGTCATAATTGTCTGTTAACTGGTATGTTTTCTAGTTTTATCTATTTCACTAAAAATGTGGATCCAAAGTGGGGAAACATAATCAACAATACAGCAACCATTTTAAGCGAGCATTTAAAAGATTAAATCGCATCCACAAGAAAGAACAACCGTAGACAACTTAGGAAATAGTCTAATTTATTTTTATATGCTTTTTATTAGTTTTGACACATTTCTCTGTGCTATTTTGGATATGATGATGACCTATATTTTAAGCTAGTGTTACTTTGGTCTCTACATTCTCTGTAATATTTATTTATTGATTACTGTATTACTGGTAAAATAAACGTTTGTTAAAATTTATCAGACAAAAGCAACAAATAAAATATTCGTTAACGGAAAGCGCTTTAAGCTTTTTTTCAATAGACACTGGCAAACCTGAACAAACAAGCCAACAAACTTTTAATCAATGACACATAAAGTGTTGATTAAAAATAATTATAGGATTTGAATATAAAAAAAATCCTATTTTTCTAAAACATTAGTTCGAATGAGACAAATAAACGAGTGGTTTATTATTATATTGTTTTATTTTTTCATATTTCCGGTTTGTATATAGAAATTATATCACAACATCAGATCAATAATCATTCACCTTTAGAAGGCAAAAAAGATAAATACAGTAAACACGTTTACTGTTTAACAATTTATTTTCAGAACATATAAAACAAGTCGTATCATTCTAGTTTTAAAAATAATTAATTCGTTATGATAAAACATTTCGATTTACAAAGATTTTTTATATCTGATTATGCAGCTGTTGAAAAATATTCTTCTAGTATAAATTATACAAAAGTATTTGCAAAGAACGATTGGAACGACGTGTAAATGATATTTAACTCCTTAATAACAGGTATTTTTCTGTTTCTGTCCTTCATAATCAATTATATTCCGTTAACGATATTTTTAACAGGTACGAACAGCATTTGTAATGTCCGTAGTAACTCGATACCAAGCGATAGCCCTATCTAAGAAAGTTTTTGCAACAAGCGTGATAGTATTCAAATGTTTTATTTTTACTTTGGCAACATTCCAAGACCGATGTAGTTGAACATTTAAACCGGAGCTCACTCCTCAATGATTTATGCTTAAAATAATAAAAACAATAATGCATGAATTTCAAATCAGACATCCACATAAACGCATGTTCGTTCATATTGCATACACTACAATAAACGTACAACCAGGAAAAACAATAAAGATGTCAGTTCCAAACGATCAAAATAGGTACATTCAATACAATATTTGATTATGTTTCCAGTCATTGCGACTCCATCAACATAATACGATGAAACTTTTTCTGACTGTTTATTTGTAATTTGGTTAGGCTAGCCAATATCTATCTCACTAAAAAATCAAACTATCAGATGGCAATATTGCAAGATAGAATACGTTCTTTGAAAACAGGAGCACATTCATTTAAATTTCTACTTCCTTATTATGTTTAAATTAACAACCATTGGTTTTCAAACGTTTATAGGAATATTTGAAACGCTTTGATTGATTCCTTATGTTTGGATACTGCACATATTTTCTTCTGGAAAAGTGTTTTGAAAATACTTATAAATCAAAGTTTCTTTTTCCTTAAGTAACTAATATTAAAGGGATATACATTTGTTCGAATAAGTGCAACCTTGTTTTCGTTTATTCTTTTCTTATTTCAGTACGTGTAAAGACCCAGTTCTGCCTTTGAGATCAATTGATTTCCATTCACAATTGATATAAAAATACTGTCTCGTATCAAAGATTAATCTTTTCAAATTTGTCAGACTGCCAAAATACATAATATTCTTTTATACCTTTATTATAGTTTTGTTTCTTTCATATTTAATCATTCTATCATAACATAACATTTTTCAGTTCAGTGCCCTCACTTAAGGTAATGAAATATAATCGTGCCTTTCATCCATACATTGTTGACAGCATTGGATTGATTTGATTAAATGCTGATCGGATATTGCACTTAAAGAAAAACAAAGTTTCAACTTGAGTCAGGGTCATCTTTTCAATTAAAATATTTTATGTATCAATGTTATTACATTCTGAAATTTGAAGAACGTAGGTTACAATAATTTGCTCTAATTTGAAACAAATAATCTTCTGCAAATATAAACACAGAAACAGACGTTTATTGTTGTCATATAAAAATAATTAAAAGAAACCCTTAAGTGACTTAACACGATAAAACTGAAAACCAAATATAACATGGTACGAATTAAAATTTCAATTTCCTTATAAATATACGACAATAAAATGTATTTACAGATTTAATTAATATTATGAACGTGTGGTAGCAAAATGTTAAAAGATAACAAAGGAAGAAAGTGATATAATTATGTAGAGTAGAGAAAAATGGACCAAAGCTGTTACTCAATTTGTATACAGTTTAGAATTTGCAAAATCTTTTCATTCGAAACATTCTTGCAGTTATTTGTCATACTCATACATGTTTAAGAAAGCAAAATCAGTCATATTGATGCGGCAATACATCAAGAATATTTTACATGATTAACGTCTTAATCTGACCCCTGTGCCATTTGCACTGTTAATCATTCTACGGTATATTGGAACTGAATTAAAATGGTAAGAATCGATTTAAGCAAATACTACATATCCTATAAGCAAGATCTTGATGATTCGTTTTTACATTGCGCATAGATTAAACTAGTATGTTTCAAAAACAAAATTAAACGGTAAAAAGCAAAAATATAAAATAAATACCAAAAATAATATTTTTAGTTTGTTTATCTTATATATATAAAATATATTTTTCGGCCGTCTGTTTTGTTCCTTGGGTCTGCGTTACATTATCGTCGCTATCCTTTGTTAGCTCGACTATTCGATTAGAATAAGAAGAGCTATTGTAGTCACCCGAGCGTCGGCGTCGGCGTAATCACTTATTATACCCCCAAAAACGAAGTTTGGGGGGGGGGGTATATAGGAGTCACCCGGTGGTCGGTCGGTCGGTCGGTCGGTTGGTCGGTCGGTCGGTTGGTCGGTTGGTCGGTCCAGCGGTCCGTTGCATTTTCCTTGTCCGGAGCATAACTTGAAGACTAATGGTTGGATTTCAATATAACTTCATACAATGGTCAAGCACATTGAGAGGAAGTGCAGTGCACAAGAACCATAACTCCACCTTGACTAATAACAGAGTTATTGCCTTTGTTACTTTTCCTTGTCCGGAGCATAACTTGAAAACTACTGGTTGAAACTCAAAACAACTTCATACAATTGTCAAGCACAATGAGAGGAAGTGCAGTGCACAATAACCATAACTCCATCTTGACTAATTACAGAGTTATTGCCCTTTGTTTCTTTTCCATTGCTTTTTTGTCCGGAGCATAACTTGAAGACTAATGGTTGGAATTCAATATAACTTCAAATAATGGTCAAGCACATTGAGAGGAAGTGCAGTGCATAAGAACAATAACTCCATTTTGACTAATTACAGAGTTATTGCCCTTTGTTACTTTTCCTTGTCCGGAGCATAACTTGAAAACCACTGAATGGAATTCAATACAACTTCATGCAGTTGCCAAGCACCTTAAGAGGAAATGCAGTGCACAAGAATTATAACTCCATTTTGACAAATTACAGAGTTTTTGCCCTTTGATACTTTCCTTGTCCGGAGCATAACTTAAAACATACTGGTTGGAATTTAAAACAACTTCATACAATGGTCAAGCACAATAAGAAGAAGTGCAGTGCGCAAGAACCATAACTCCATTTTGACTAATTACAGAGTTACTGCCCTTTGTTACTTTTCCTTTTCCTGGAGCATAACTTGATAACTACTGGTTGGATTTCAAAACAACTTCATACAATGGTCAAGCACAAGAACTATAACTCTGTCCAGAGTAATTATAGTGTTATTGCCCTTTCTTTCTTTTCCATTGCTTTTTTCTTGTCCAGAGCATAACTTGAAAACTACTAGTTGGAATTCAAAACTATTTCATACAATAATCAAATATATTGAGAAGAAGTGTTGTGCACAGAAACCATAACTCTTTTTTGATTAATTTAAAAGTTTTTGCCCTTTGTTACTTTTTATTGTCCAATGCATAACTTGAAAATTAATGTTTGGAATTCAATGAAACTTTATACAATGGTCAAAGGCAGTGAGATGAAGTGCAGTGCACAAGAACAATAACTCTATTTGGACTTATTACAGTTATTGCCTTTGTTACTTTTTTTATCCAGTGCATAACTTGAAAACTAGTAGTTGGAATTCAATACAACTTCATACAATGGTCAAGCGCAATGAGAGGAAGTGCAGTGCACAATAACCATAACTCAATCTTCTGTATTTATAGAGTAATTGCCCTTTATTCCTTTTCCTAGTCTTTCTGGACTTATTACAGAGTAATCCAATAAAACTTCATCAATGGCCAACCACATTGAAAGGAAATGCAACATACAAGAACCACAACCATCTTTAATTGCCCACAACCATAACTCTATTTCAATTCTTTACAAGGTATTCTGTTACTAGTAACATCCTCATTTCCGAAGCAGTCTTGCAGGGGGTATTAATCACATTTAGTGATAGTTCTAGTGTTAAAGTTTTTGTAATACCTCAAATATTTTCAAAGTCCATTGACATATGGCTTTGAAACTTTGCACACTTTTTCACCATCATGACCCCAACCTGTAGACAGGAGGAGGTAACTCTATCAAGCATTTTGACAGAATTATGCCCCTTTTTCGACTTAGAATTTACGTTAA